CGTCCACCACTGATGGGCTATTGTAAGCGAAAAACCGGGATGGTGGCCTGGGGATTTGGCAAGCTCACTCGGCACATTCCGTCCATGCAAGCAAGAAGGCTTCACCGCCTTTCTTGCTCTGTAGATCCGGTTACCAGGGCATTGATGCTGACTCCATACATGCGGTCCAAGTTCGAAAGGGCGTGGATGAGGGCCGGTGGCACTAATGAGAACTTCCCACTGGCTAGTGAGGAAGTATTGAACGATAGAGGAGACGCCACGCCTGCTGACCCACACGTGGTGTTTCTCCATTCGATTGGAGACGTGACGAATTCCTGAAGTGGGCAGGTCTCCCTTACCCAGGGAGTGGGTATACTCGGCTTTAGGGAAGCGGTTGCCAGCAACTCGTGGCTTGAGGAAGGCCCGCATGTATGACCGAAAGGCAGTACATTACGGCTCTTCAGCTACGTGCCGGGTGTGTATCCCACTCGAGAGTTTCGGTGTCGGGGTAGAAGCAAGACTGAGGCAACTTGCAGGAGATGTCCACATAGGTTGGAGTCATGTTCACACATACTAGGGCAATGCCCGACCATGAGCGTGGCCAGGATTGCCCGGCACCACAAAGTTGTGCCGTCTCCTCGGGGCTGAGGCGGAGTCCTCGGGTTGGAGGCACGCCAAGGAATGGGAGTTCAGAACCTGTAACGTGGTTGTGAGACGACTTGACCTGGTACTCATCCGTGGGGATTGCGTAACGGTCCGATATGAGTTGGCTCCTGACACTCTCACGGTGGCAGGGCTGCAAAAAGAGGACTATTACGGGCCCTTATAAGAATGTGATCGCATCGAAATTGGGTGTTAAGCATGTACAGATCTTCGGGTTCCCCTTGGGCGTGAGAGGCCTATGGCACAAAGGCAATACCAAACTGCTTGAAACCATAGGCATGGGGAAGCGGAGGATGAAATCCTTTTGCGAAGTTGATGAGCCGGAGGTGCCTCCTCTACTCGTTGGAAATTCTGCGGATTTCTCCTCCACCCGAAGGAAGTAGGTATCGAGGGCGTGATTCCCGTTGTGCATGCCTGCTGTGATGTACAGGCCTGAATGGGTAATGTGCCAAGCTGGTCCCGTGAAGGGTTAACAGTGTCAACATGCCTGAATAGGTTTTGTCACACGGCAGTGTACAGAATAACGGTATGGACAGAAATGGGGGGCTGGTGTGGATCCTCGTGGGGTCGGTTGAGAGGAGGTTGCATCTCTGACTACCGGCTCGGCGGGGACCTGCTCGGCCCCCTATAGACAAGTAGAAGGCGAGTGCTTGGGGTTGGGGGTCGCGGCTCCTGTGAAGGCGATGGTATGAGGAGCCCATTGTACAGAAGGGGGCTGCGGTTCTGACCTCGAGCACTCAAGGGCGGTTGAACGATGACAGCCTCGATACTGACGGGAGCGGACAAGCCCGGTTGCCAAAGGGGTGCCATAGTAGTAGCAAGCGTAATGTCTCGAAAGGACCCAGCCTGAGGGCAAAGACACAGGACCCAACGCCAATGAATGGGCTGATCGCATCAGCTCACATCTGGTAATGGGTTACCTGTAGGGTCAGGGGAAGGGGAAGGAACCGGACGTACCGGAAGGGCAGAACCGAGTTCAGAACCTATCACTTGTATGATGACTCCCCCGTTGTCATTTGCAGGTTGGGTAGGCAATCTGAAGTGCTAATGCCCTCTCCCTAGGTACAAAACCGAAAGATGGGCATTCTGTCTAGAAGCAGGCATGCTTCTCCACCAACTCATGGGCGGTAATGGGACGGGCATCTCCAATATGGCCGAACTCCTAGCGAAGGGACATGCCAATGGCAGGAAGACCTCCCAGTACGGGGCAGGAGCATTTCGCCCAGGGAGCGAGGAATGTTGCGAGGAAGAAGTCTCATGACCAACCTACTCACCCGAAAGATGGATATGAGTCCCTATCTAATGGCACCCTGATGGCAGAGAAGCGCGGGGGGGGGGGGGGCAGAACTTGACCCTCACTAATTATCTCTCTCTTTGTGTTCTGTTACAGGTGCTGGTGCAGATGCGGGAGAGGGGAGCAACGGTTGCGGACAAGGCGGTGCCGGTTGGCAGGATAGGGACGGAAACGGGACTTGATATGATTAAACATAATGCTGCCCACTGGAACAATGCGGATGCACTAGTGACACTAATTCGCAGCATGATTGGCCTTCATGTCTACTGGGTGACGTGAGTATACTACCTTCCAAAGTTAGCCGGTTTTGTCGTCAAGTGCGCTGGTCGTTCGACCGAATTACCAGCGTGCAGGTAGTATGGGTGACGGGCATCCTTAACAATCCGGAAAGGTGAGACCCCTTGTATCGTACCAGGCGACGATACATGCTCAATGGTGTCTCGCCGTGTCGCTAGCCAAATGCCTCGTCATCTAATTAGTGACGCGCATGAATGGATGAACGAGATTCCCACTGTCCCTACCTGCTATCTAGCGAAACCACAGCCAAGGGAACGGGCTTGGCAGAATCAGCGGGGAAAGAAGACCCTGTTGAGATTTACCCCAAAATGTTCGTGAAGCTGAAGAAAGCTGGAGGTATGATATTGTCATTCCATGTCGTATTTTCTTGTTTTAATACCCATAATTTTGCAGAAAACATTTGCTCAATAACCTTTCTGTTATTGTTACACAGGTGGAGTGTTGCATATGGGCTGCACCCATGGTGTTGTATACCATAACAGGGAAATAAAAATATTAACACAACTTTTCAACATTAGGACAAAATCTCACATCTCTATTCTGTCGAGAAGAGAGACTCCACTGTCATCGCAAAAATCTCTCACTACACCTCATTGGAACTACGTGACCGGAAAAGCGTTTGCCCACCTGATCTCTTGAAAGACACCGGTATTTTGATGCCATGGCTAACTGATAATGTGAGTACCAATTATTTTGACAAATATTTGTTTAATATTCTTGATAATATTTTTAGTGAACTTCTTATCTAAAATGTAATGTTTAACTTTTAAGACATGTACAGTAGATATTGAAACTCACATCATAATTTTTCCTCAAATTTATTTTCGTATTGCGCTTTAAAGGCAGTAAATTGTAGGGTTGCACAAATTGCAGCAGAGACCCAGAATGTAAGTAATCACTTGAGAACATAAACTTTTTTTCACACTACTATTCAGAAACGTAATTAAGTATTCCTATTGTGCGATTTATTCAACATACAGGTTATGTGACAGATGTAGCGCACTTCCTTTATACAATATACATGTAATTTTGTTCTCTCTTTAGTGTATAGCCTTGACGACTGACACATTCCTTTTGTGGCATAGAGACTGGCTTGCTTCAAAAACAGTTTCAGATTCTCATTTGAAAATTCTTGAGGTACTGTACAATTTGCAAAATAAATATATATTAAGCTCTCCTGCATGTTTATACATGTAATGGCACAGTATGTTTCCTATTTCTTTCATTACAGTATGATGCACAGAAAATTCGGTTTCCAAGAATTGTTGGTGGCCAGACACCAGAGAGAGGATGCCACTTCATTCTTTGGGTTAGTTCAAATCGAGGAGTGTTAATCACATGATGTAGAAATTTGATAATAAAGAGACTGTACAGTGAAGTTAAAATTTTGTAAATAAGTAAATTTATCATCCGTAAGCATTGTAAATTTGACCCTTTTTTTATTTCTTCTACAGTCTTTTTTGTTCTTGCATATGCTGCTAGTCCTGTTGCTAGAGTGGCTAACGTTAGCACATGTTAGCTAAAACACATGCCGTTTTGCCTTTGTTAGGACACACTGGGGTTAAGCAATGTTGCTAGTAACGTTACATGTAGAAATGTAATAATTAGCTACTTACAGTAGTTAGCCAAAGCGAAAATTTTCACGTAATCGTGCTGCTCATATGAGGAGGTTTGCAAGGTACCAGCTGAAGTGCAGAAAGGACTTTGCAGCTTTGATTACGGACTACAGTTCCTAAAACCATGACTTCACGCGTCCTGTTCCGTGCCCGAGTCCAACTGAACCGTGCTCTGGCCCACCTCTTCCAAGCTGGCCAGGGCTGGCTAATCGAGCCGCGCCCGGGCACTGTTCGGACCACTCAGAATAGTCCAACGAACCGCGCTTTGGTGAGCAAACGCGCTCTGGCACGGTTCAAACTGGCTAGTGTGAGTACACCCTTGGAGAATTTGGTGATGTTGTGCGTAGCATGGACAACAAAATGGACCCTATGCTGCAACATTTTGAGTGCCAATATGTCTTTTGGAGAGTTATCCCTGCCAGGGGATCTGTTACTCCCCCTAGACACCCAGGAAGATTTGCCGTTACTTGACAACAGTATGAGGCAGGATAAAGAACTCCTGGAACAATTTGTAAGTGTTTTGATTTCATTTATATCGCCATAGTAAAAAAAAGTTTTTTTTTTCTTTCAAAAAAGTAAAATTAAGATTGTACACTGCATATTCTACAGTCTGAATCCACACCCTGTTACATTTTAAATGTATGAGAAGCTTCAGATAAATGTAATTTGTTACTTTTTTTTTTTTGTATTTTCAGCTTCGGTTTTTGACAATCAAATGTGAGAGGGACCTAAAGACAACCATGTGGCGAATGCTTCAGAGTATCTTCTCTAATCACCTTTCCATCAATATAACCTGGTCTGGTGTAGGTGATAAAGCATGTTTGAACAATGGTCTTCAGGAACATGTCTCTAAAAGTAAGTTGGATATTTTTTTATATTTAAGTAGATGTGTATGACTTTATGCCTTTCAAATGGAATGACAGATCTTTATTTTCTACAGGAGCCATCCGGAAGAACCCGGCGACCCAGGATGCCACTGATGAGGCGATCCAGGTTAACGTTACACATCACCTGAAAGGAGCATCTGACCATGCAGGTGGAAAAAGGCACCGCTGAGTGGGACCCACAGCCGACCCCTTAAACCTAGGCTGACTACTGACACCCCAGCATCACTTGACAACTGGAGCCCTTTTTTTATCCTGCAGACAGTAACTTCAAGACATCTAAAAAAGGCTTGTTACAGTGCTTAACTCTTCTATTTAAATATAGCTTGTAAATCCTAGATTATACATCTAATACTTGATTTCTCCACATTATCTGGTATCAAATATTCCACTTGCCGTGACTTTAGTATTGGCTTATTTCATTTCGTCAGTGCTTAACGATTCTACATGCTCTATGCACGAACCCTGCTGACGTATGTCCGAAAGAATCTCAGCCAGCTTCTTTACTTCCACAAGCGCATTCTGCAGGCAAAGTATATAGCGGCAAAACTTTAATAAAATTCATAAAGTTCATTTCTTTCACTTTTCATACCTCTGATACTTGAAATTGCATTTTACCTGGTACCAAATATTCTACTTCATTCTGTCACAGTGCTTAACTGTTATTCTATTGTTAAATATAGCTTGTAAATCCTTGTGCCACAGGTCAGCATTGCAGTTTTAATGGTATATTCTCAAATTATTTGGTGTCCTTCACTTTCTTTGGTACCAAATATCCTCATTACTTGTGTTTACTGGTAATTCTTTTCATCCCAGAGCTGACCTCTTTATGTTATTAGCAAGTGTTGTAAGTGTTATACAGTGTTTTATATATATATATACTGTATATATATATATAAAGTGTTTTTTAACTATAAAATGTATTGGAAAGCTGTGTGTGTTTGTATTTTTCTGTTATATTTCAGCGATCTGACATTGTTTAATGACAGTTACTGTACATTCAAATGTGGAAATAAAATGTCAAATGGAAATTTGTCTGGTTTGAGCAATCATTATTCTTGATAAACTGCATGCTGTAAATATTAAATTAAATAAATATATAGTGCAATAAGTGGTGGGTGAAGGTCCGCCTTTGGTATAATGGCGGTGGAACGCCGGCGGGCCGGCCACAGAACGAAGGCGGCAGCCGCTTTTAAAACAGCGGTCCGCCGTCAAACGTGTTTGCGATTACGCCATTCTGCCACTTCTACTATCTCCGGAGCGCCGCCGACTCATTGCTATCTGGGAAAGAATCTGTAAGTTGCGTAGCAGCTATTCATCAACAGTCGCGGTGAAATTCAAATAGTTGTTCTAACTTCGACAATCATGATATTGATTTTATCTTTTGGAGTTTTAATACATGATCAAGGTAAGTTTATAGTTTTTCACTATCTTAACATGTGGATTTTAATCTATAGCGCATTACTAGATACGATTGGTTTTTTTTTTTTGGGGGGGGGGGGGTTGTGTGATTGGATTGGATTTGTTTTTATGTTGGAGAGAAAATAGAATTGATGTTTGAATTCTGTTTTTCATTGAAAATTAACGTTATAGTGAAGAACATCGGAAGCTGCCTCTTGCTGAACAACAGCTGATCTTCCTGAGGCCACCAAAATGGAAAATAAAGTAAGATTGATTATTTTGTAACGTTAATTCATTAACATAGACCTTTCTTACAGGTCCTTATGTGTGTGCAGTTTAACACATTATAATGCACATTTCTTTTTGAATTGCAAAAAGGGAAATTGTCACTGAATAGTCTTTACATGACCATACCACTCTTTCTTAATCAAATTTAGTAATCCTTAAAAAAAAATACCTTTCCTGAAGATGAAACAGGCGGCTAATGGATGAAAATGACCCCGATGAGGAGGCTACTGCAGCCATGGCAAGTAGAGAAGTTCACAAGACCTCACAGAACATCACAGTCAATTGACGTGGGACCAGGATTCAACTTTACAGTCTCCCGGACAGGCAATACAGTCACCGTGACATCATGAAACACCCAGACCACAGAGAAAAAGCCTCTCAAGTGATGACCGATTAATAAGATGTAAGATTTCTTTTAGCATTTTTAATCATATATTCACTGTTAGTGTAAGGATACTATAGCATGTCATAGCAGTGGTGGTGTGGCATGCATGACACATTTACACTTTTGCTTTACTGGTTGTATCAATTTAATTTATTGCTTGGTTTCTGTTGATTTTTAGTACGGTGGCTGAGAGGGCTCAACATTCTGCAACAGAAGAAAATGGATGCAAACAGAAAAAAAAAACCTATATAAAATAAGAACATCTTTATCACATGAGCTAAAACACATCCAAATACAGAAACGCACTCCAAATGTCTGACCAACCATGCAAATATCTACTCAACAGTGCTGTTTATTGTTTAATTTATTATTATTTATTGTTTGCATTGTATTTGCAGCATGTGTGTTGTGAAACTGATGTCTTGACTTGCTGGTGTTTTTCTTGTTTGTATGTTTTCTTCTGTTGCAGGACTTTGAAGTCTCTTGCCGTTTGCAGTGCGTTTTTGTATGTGGTTACGCTGAGTATTTGCTGCATGTGTGTTGTCAAACTGATGAAGATGTTCTCCTAATTTGCTGGTGTTTTTTTACTGTTTACATGTTTTCTTGTTTCAATGCGTTAATCTCTCGGCCGTATTTTCATGCCACTTACACTTTTTTTTGTAACATTTTAATTCATTGCTGTGTCTTTTTATTATTCTTGTAATGTGAATGATAGTTATTTTGTTTTGTCTTACTCTATTGGTTTGTCTTTTTTTGTTTTTCCTTTTAACTGGCTGAAATTTTCTTCCCTTCTCAATAAAATATTGTTCTTTGCATTTCTGTTGTGTCATTTTTTTTATTATTCCTTGCACAATACATAAGTATTACACAGGGATAATTTCTGGTTTAGTTTTGGGGACTCTGGTATAATATTGGCCCAGTTATGGCTGTTTTCTGCAGCTTCTGGATAAGATGTGTCTGAGTTCTGGCCTAAAGGTGGTGGCAGTTTGGCTTTTGTCTAGCTGACATATGGGGATTACGGTGTTGTTTTGGGCCAGTTCTGGATAATATCTGGGTACATAGAAAAGCTCTGGGCGAGTTTTGGTTTGCTCCCGGCCTTGATCTGGTTGACTTACGGCAAACAGCACTTGGGCCAACCTAGGGCCAACCAGATCTGGCCCAAAGTCAATTTGCCGTCCTATGAGAAGGACGGGCGGGGGACATGAGAGAAAGTCGCGAGGCCGGTGGTGTGATTGCTAATGAGCAGCATCTGTGAAGCACACCGGTCTCACATCTCTCACGGAGGAGCAGAAGCGTAAAAGGGAAGCGACGGAGTGGATGATCGAGAGAGGAACAGGCCTGCTTTTGTTTGTATTTTATATTTTCTTTTGGTAAGCCAGCAATCGTCCGTGAGGGACTATGTTTTATTTAGTTATGTTTTATTTGGGTAGTCAGCAGTTCCATGAGGTAGCTGCAGTCATTTCAAGAAAGCCTTTACGAACAAATGTGCCTTACTATAGTTAGGATTCTAACCAAACCCTGTTATCTTTTCATGTTGGTTTGCACCTCCAGGCCACCATACTTTTATGTGCGAGCCTAACATTGTTGTTCCACGTATCCCAAGTTCCACTTGCTGATCAGTGTTTTTTGTCTTGGAGTGTTGTACTGGTGTTACACAAATACAGTTTTCAACTCTTCAATATTGAGTATTGTTTTTACAATTATTTCTAATTAATAAAGACAATTCATCTTTAAATTGCATTCTCGATTTGTTCTTGTATTTCTCAAATATACCTCAGATATCATTCCCATATATATCTTCAGAAAGACATTAAAGAGAAATAATCAAGAGATGGAAGAGACGTTGGACACAATAGTAAGATCTCTTTTAAGGCTCATAATTCTCAGATTTGTCTTATAAAACCCACCCAGCACCAGACGTCATTAAGACGTTGTTTTTTGGGCTAAATCAAGTCGGCTCGTCATAGCCTTCATTTAGCCCAAAAATAGACGTTGAAAATTGGGCTTTGTGAGGTCCGTCCCATTTGGACCAAATTTAGCCCAAACAAAGACGTTGAAATTTGGGCTTTGTTTGGTCCATCCGATTTTTTTTTTTTTTTAGAGTGTGCAGGTGACCTCATAATTCTGTCTTTTTACGATGCACTTGGGGATTTACAATTACTCCAGAGCACGTTGTACAAAAAGTCGAAGTGAAAAACAGGAACTTGGCGGAGGGTCCGCCGGGGGGCTGATGTTTGACTCGGAGGAGTCGATTGACCCAACTGAACTCCTCCGTCAAAACGATCTGGGCCGACCCGAAAGCCATGTTCGTCTTGTGGTTGGCGACCTGCGGACACACGAGGGGAAGAAATAAAAATAAACAGATAAATCAATCAATAAACAAATCAATTAAAAAAAAAGTCCACACAAAAACACATCGGGCAAAGAAGAGTCGGACGCTCACGTTTATCAGGTACGCCTTCTCCGAGGTCGATTTGTGGGCCCCCAGAACCTCCTGCATAGTTATGTTTTGGAGAACCCCTCTCTCTGTGGCCGTACACGGAGGCGAGCAGCGCCGCAAAGTACTCGTAGAACCTCCACAGGGTCTTCTGGGTGGGCTCGTTCTCCAGGAGGTCTAAAGACGAGAGAAAAGCACAAAGTTCAAAGGTCCGTCGGCCGGCGGGTGAGAGGCGCGGGGAGGAGACGAAAGACCACTCACTCAAAAGGTCCGGGATGGCCTTGGCGGTGAGTTCCCTGCACTTGCGGAGGGTGGGCTTTTGGATGATGTTGACCTCCTTGACCTGCGTCTGGTGGACGGCCACGCCCCTCTTCAGAGACTTGCGGAGCGCCCCCATCTCCCTGCGGAGGCCGACCAGGGCTTTTTTGGTCAAGCGGCAGGACTGCGGAGGGGTCTCCGACAGGAAACGCATGAAACATCCCACGTTCAGGATGTAGTGCTGTATGGTGGTCACGGTCATCTTCGCCCGCCGGAGGGAGCTGACCCAGCTGCGAAAACAGAGACAAAAACCGTCAGAGAGGCGGCAGAGCTCGCTCAAAGGCCGTGCCCGCGACGGGGGACGCGTCACTCACCCGTGTATCCTGGTGGTGTCGTCCAGGAAACGGAAGTCCGCCAAGTTCTGTTTTCCCCTCGCCATGGCCGCCAAAAATTTCTTGATCCGGTACACCTGGCAGCCGACGTTCTCTTTCAGCTTGGTGCCGGGGTCCGGGCCTTCCCTGTGGCGCCTGTACTCCTCCACGATCTCGTCTGCAAAGAAAAAAACAAAAGAGAGAGAGAGAGACGACGGCGAGAGAGCAAAGCGTTAGCGTTAGCACGACCGCGGGTTAAAAAGAGAAACGGGGCGAAAGCGTCACACTCACTTAGCGTGGCCACGTGGTCGGGGTAGTGGGGTTCCTCCTCGCCCGGGTCCTCCGGCTGCTGGAAGGCTTCTCTTCTTCGCCCCCCTCCGCAGTCTTCTCCTCGGACGAGGCTCGCGGCTGCTGCTGCTGCTGCTGAGGGGTGGAGGTGGCCTCCGGCGAAGACTTGACGTCCTCTTCCACGGGGCGCCTTCCTCTTCCTCCGGACCCAGGGAGGAGAGGAGCCTTTTGACCGGCCGCCCACGTTGGTCTAAGATGATTTTCATTACTCCAGAAAGACTGAGCAAAGAGATGATGAATGGAAATGTTAACAAGATAAAAAAAATAAGACTAAAATAAAGAAATTTTCAAGCGTTACTTACGATGCTTTGGGAAACAAGACCATATATTAAGATCAGTCATGTGATCGTTTTTACGATCTACTTACAATGCTTTTTGGGGAAACGCAGCGCAGAAGTTCCGATTGGATCCGATCAAGAGATTCTGCACGCCTCGAGATGATGCACTATGAGACGACGTTCATTTGCAGAGCGCAAGTTTCTGGCACATAAGCCTGTAATAAGTTTATGGAAAAGCTGGGAGAAGAGCTAGTGGTTGTTCAATAGCCAAAGGTCAGTGACTTGAATATACTTCAATACAAAACACAATATAGTTTAGCCAGTCAGATAAAGGCTTTTTATCAATTTCTAAAGAAGAGTGCCTTGGATTTCCTTCCACTACCCACAATTTGTTTCAGAATTTCTTTAATTGCAACTTAATATAACAATTTTCTTCTCGGTTTTAACCGTGTCATAAGTGCGGCATGCCAATTCATCAGGAAAGTAACATCCACAAAATGAAACATGGTCAATAAAACTTGTTAGCCTACAACTGTGTAATTATTCGGGCATTACTGTTTTATGTTTAAATGGCAAGTAAAGCATTTACTACTTAAAATAGATTTACAAGATATTAAAAATTAAGTGTCTCATCAGTGTCTGCAAAGATGAAAATTGACGATCATCATTTCTGTAGTGAACACTCCTAGAGAAAATTGCACGTAGGCCTGTTGTGGATTATAATCAGAGAGTATCCTATTTATTTTCGTTTTAATTGTTTTGTTTAAAGACATTTCAAGCTTATATATATATACACCTTTCTATTTAGCTTTTTTTTTCTTTTTCTTTTTTTTTTTTACAATTTATAGGCTATATATATTTCTCGTGTGAGGCAGACGCTGAGTAGTCTCGGTTAATTTCTGATAAGATGGTGTAGTATTGTTTACGTGCAAAGTGACCGCGCCCGTGCCCATAAAGAAAAAAAAAATACATATATGCTACATTTTGGCTTTAATCAACTTTTTGGCTTTAATCAACTTTTTTATGTTAACAGGATGCACATAACTAGGTTAGCCTACATTGGATTTATGTAAAAAAAATAAATAAATAAATTAACTTAAGTTAATTACGTAATCCAACGTAGTTTAGTTGAATAAGTTTAACAGTATTAATTTTGTCCAAAACAAATTAAATTAATTAAGTTTAATTATCCTAATTTTTTTTTACATTCAACCAAAACAACTTAAGTGGCCAAAATCATGTCAGACCATGTCTCCTGATATTGCACATCCTATCTTACTCATGCTGTCAATTTTTATAATCAACAGATGTGGAAAAAAAAATACAGTATAATATTTTAACAAATATGAAACTAAATAAATACACTTATTTAATGGCTACAACACGTAGGCCTGAATATTTTTATTTTAAGGACTGGTATTTGTGTTATCTTTAAATTATTTGTTTTATGTGGTGGACAAAAACATAACATTGGAAATATTTATTGTATTTTTACTAGTTGTAATTTTACTATTTTTCTTGTTTGGCTTTTATTTATTTCATGCATTTACACTTATTTGATTTAGCCTATATTCATTTATAGTATGAGTTCCTCATTATGTTGCATGGTCTCTTGTTGTAGTTTCTTTGTTGTTTTAAAGGTGGAATACCTAAGATTTTTGCATTAAAATATACCAAAATCACAAGGCCAGTGTTTCATATTTAGTTAAGATGATAACTTACAATATTCCAAATGTTTCAAACAATGTTTAAATCGCGATAAAATTGAGATTTTAACCAAGGAAACGGGGCGTATGAGCAGAGGTGAGCTGGGAGTCGCCAGTCAATCGCGTCATATCCGCTTACCTCGGTTTCTGCTCGTACTACGTGTAGTCCTGGACAAATGCGGTAGTCTCTCAAACTTCTATTTGCTTCTATCATATGATGTGAAACATTTTCCCATTTAATCTGTATTTATTTGAACTGTTCATGTTTCAAGGAGAAGGTCAAAAAAGAACTGAAGAATTGGAAAGCAGCTTACCCTCCACATCCTCAGAAACAAGGGTGGAAACAATGAAAACATCCTCAGAAACAATGTCTGGCAGTACTGGTATCCAGAAGAAAAGACTCACTGTTCATGAAAAGTTGGCTAATGATTTTCATGAACATAAATTGAAGTATCTTAAGGAGGAGCATGAAATGAAGATGAATATACTACAAGTAGAACTCGAGATAAAGATGAAGGAGAGAGAGATGCAACAGACTCAAATGTCACAGTACATGAATCTGTGAAATAAAAATTGTTTTATTAAGAAAAGATGGATGTTGTGGTGGTTTCAGTAACATACCAGACCAAACAGTTTTACACTTTTAACAAATATTTGGTTTTATTATTACATGTCAGATCTGAACAGAGGGTTGAAAGTTAATGTAAAATATCTATTCAAAGTGGCACAATGCAAAAGCATCCCTGTATGCAAGTCCTTCTCTGTGGTTTGTTGTAAATGGTGGCACATCTGGATTGTCATCCGCTTCTATTGGGGGATCTGGGCATCCCTGCTTTTTTAGGTAGTTGTGAAGAACAGCTGTTGCAATGATGACAGTGCAGCATCTACTTGGTTTGAATCTGAGTGTTTTCCTAAGGCACTGAAAACGGCTCTTCCAAACACCAAACATGCGCTCGACTAAGCCCCTTGTGCGTATATGAGCCTGGTTGTAGCGCAGTTGTTCAGCTGTTGTTGGGTGCAAGTAAGGCGTAAACAAGAAATCCTTCTGAGCATACCCACTGTCCCCAAGCAAAATTCCAATTATGATCTCCTCTTTCAAATTGAGTATACAGAGATGAGTTGAGGAAAATTCGGGAATCATGAGTTGCACCTTTCCACCGTGCAACAATGTTTGAAAACTCTAACTGGGGAGTGCATGCACCTTGGACATTTATGGAAAACCAGTTCTTTCGGTTCCTGTATTCCTCAGCATCTGCAGTAGAGGGATGCTTAATGGGAATATGGGTACCATCTATGCAACCTATGACTCCTGGGAAATTTCCATATTTATAGAATAGTACCTTGTAGTTAGCCTGGGTTGTAGCATCAGGGAAGTTTATGTAATGTGGTTTTAATTCACAAATGGCCCTGCACACTCTGTGAATGACTTTACATACTGTTGGTTCACTGACACCACATAAATCTCCAGTTTCTCGATGAAAGGTGCCACATGCCAAGAACCTTAAAGTTATGAGCACCTGGAGACAAACTGGAATAGGCTGTCCTCTTTGGGTCACAGATGAAAGCCTGGGTTCTAAGAGTGAAATTAGCTCCACTGCATACTCTATGCATGCGGAAACGATCTCGAAAACGTATTTCATCAAAACGTTGCAATGGGTCACTTCTGTCTGCAAGAACTTGCCTGGCTGGTGGAAAGCGCTGATCATCATTGACATACTCCAAGTAATCCATGTATCCTCCAAATGAAATTAATCTGAAGTTAAACCTGCCTCCTGGTAGGTTTAATTTAAGCCTCAATTTAGTCCTGAAGTTGCTCTAGTCTTCCTCCAGGAAATTAGCCTATGAAATTCTGGACTAGACTAAGTCTTAGACTTTTTAAAACCATGACAGAGAAAGCACATTTCTGTTAATCTGATATAAATGGGCATTTTAGTCCAGGACTAGGCTTAATCTTGGTCCGGGAAACCGCCCCTATATCTCATATGTGTTGGGAAAAGGGAGAAGAGACTATGGCAAAAGGCGGATTCGAACTCGGGTCGAGTGCATCAACAACGCACGCGCTTCGCGCTCTACGATCTACGCCACTTTAGCTGTGACGAAACCGGCGTCTTTTTTCTTAAAAGGCAGGGACTTTACGCTCCGTTCCGTTTTATCAAACCGGCCCTCGCGGCCTCGAAACACTACCGGCCCACCGGGGAAATTCCCGACTCTCCCTAGTGCCTTAGATGTCGTGGGCCCCCGGGCAAGTGCCCAGTTGCCCTGTGGTTAATCCAGCCCGTCCCCAGAGTGCCCCCATTAATTAATTAATCAATGTAATTTAATGTCAGACTAATATAACAAAAGGTATGAATATACATTACATTTTACAAAATTAAGAAAATATTTAAACTTTGTATTTATGCTCGCGTGTTAAGCCCGCGAATCTGGCCGAGGGTATATAAACCGCTGTCTCAGTGCCTAATCCTTATCGCGCATGCTCTCTCTTCTGGATCATTACATATATGTGAGTAACGTTATTTCTAAAGTTAATGTAACCAAATGATTTAAAGTGCATTTACAACTGAAAATATCAAATATAACAC